GTATGTGGGATCCGAACCCTCGGCGGGAGCGCCGCCGCACTTCCCAAGCGGCGCACTAGCGTAGTGCGCCACCAGGCCGGCCCACACACAGTAAGTTTCTATAAGTGATGTTGCTGCCATGACAACCACCACCACCATCACCACTACTAGCACCATCACCATCACTACTACCACCACCACCATCATCATCACCATCACCACCATGATCACCACCACCATCACCACCATCACCACCACCACCATCACCACCATTGCCACCACTGCCACCACTGCCATCACCACAATCACCACCATCACTGCCACCACCATCACCACTGCCATCACCGCCATCACCACTACCACTGCCATCACGCTACCATCACCGCCGCTGCCACCACCACCATCACCACTGCCACCACCACCATCACCGTCATCACCACCACCACCATCACCGCCACAATCACCACCACCATCACCACCACCACTGATACCACTACTTGCAATACTTACAGAGGCTATGAATTTAGTGATTATTGGAATGTATTTACTTCTCCTTATTCTATAAACTTTCTGTCTATGAGTAAGAATTTTAGCTATCACCTGAGAGTTATACTAATGAACGTGGGTTTTCGCACAGAGAATGTGCTGTATAAATACTTGATAATCCATTGAATTCTCTCCTACCTCAGTGTACTGCTGAGTGACAAGCTCTGGAGTTGGCCCCAAGAACAAGTAAAAGTCCAGAATTCCTCCTGTGGTGCGGTATGTCAAGGCAGGCAGGGGCTGGAATGTCACATCTGAAAATATAGGAAAATGTCAACCAAGCTGGAAGCGTTCAAGGTGAGGAATTACCCTGAATTTCCTACTATCTCCCTATTGTAGAGTACTAAGAGCAGATATTTGGTACTATACCCACTCAGAATTAAAGAAAATAGTGAAAGTCTGTAGGGTCCCATCCTGGATTTTATTTTCCCCTTGATGTGCTTTATTATCTTGTTATGTTTTGTCATTCTATTCTTCTAAAATTATTATTATAACTGCTATCTGAGAATAGTTTAAGACTCATAAGAAGTTGCAAAAATAGTACTGAAAGTTCCTGTGTGTACTTAACCCAGTTTCCCCAATGATAGTTTCTTATATAACCACTGTACTTTGTCAAAACCAGGCAACTGACAT